TTTACACATAGTCCACCAGGAGGCGCCAACACAAAAGTCAGAGACTTCACATGAGATTTGGACCATCTTGTGGGGGAAAAGCAGATTACTTCCTACTCGCAAGCACCCCCCCTCTGGTGGGGAAACTTTTTTCAGGGATACAAACTTTTTCAGAACATCGTTAGGCAGCCATTTCAGATGAACATGTGTTTGTTGTTGTTCGAGGAGCGGCCCGGTTACACACTAATGTCATTAGTTCGRTATCATTACTAAGGTGCAGGAATACTTTTTTTCTCCTTTTTTTCACATCATGTCACCTGCTTGGATCTGTTATTATCTCGCTCTGAGGCACGGAGGAGTGTCAGAGGTGAGCTTGTTTCAACTGCTTTTTACGTCGTGGTCTCATTTCTGGACTCAGGCAATTTCTGCTTCAGAAAGCCGACATTTCAGTTAAAATACATAAGTAAAAATATTTTTCTGAGTATAATACTACCCCCCAACTTTATGGATGATTTTATGGATTAAATTTTACGTATTATACTTGAATAAATACGGTAAGCCTGAAACATACTCATTCCGAAGCTGAGTAGTRGATGCGCGGTCATGTGGTTGTACACGTCAACTCCCTTCGGATGTTTACCTGTTTGATGAGCCTCAAAAATCCATAATTTTCACAAAAAAAATCCATATTAATCACACGGTTGGGGTGGGGTTGTCAGTCGGACCGTCATCTGCAGAGGAGAGMGGATGGGTTTCAGGCAGACTGTTGGCTGCAGCAAAATCAGAAGGAAATGAGGATGGAAGAAATTATTTCTAGCAGCAGAGTTGGTTGGAAGTGGATATTTAATGTTATTGTTTTTTAACGTCCTACAGGATCTGACATGTTAAATAAGTTTGAAACTGAGTTTTAGAAAAAAATTGTAAAACATGAAAAAATCTGTGATTMCTCTATACCTCCCTATACCAGCAAAATGATGGAAAATCTGTGTAAATTACAGACAATCCATACAACATGATGTGTGTGGTTGTTCGAAATTCATTTTCGCACTCACCTTTCATTGCCTTGGAGATGCACCATGCCGAGTTCCTAGGAAACCCCTCCCACTGCAGCATAGTAGTAGTAGTAGTTCTTTATCCATTTAATTTGTAACACAGATTAACAAAGTACAAAAAAACATGCAATCAAAATAAAATCAAATAAAATGAAAGGCAGCAGAAGAAGAATAAATCTTATAATATCTGCCCCCTTTTTTATACCCAAAATATGTTCAAAAGA